ACTTTGCAATTAAAAAATGAAAAATTTTTTGATAATGGTACCAATGGGGAGTCAGAACCTACCAGATGCAAAAGGTTTCGTTCTGATCGGTCCATCCAGCTAGGCGTAATCGGCGAACATACATAGAAATTAAAAAAGAAAAAAAAAAGAAAAAAAATACTGATCGAATTGAGTAACCTCCTCCTTTTTCGAAGTCGGTTAAAAATAGGAAACTAGAAAGCCATAAAACATTACCTTTAGTTACACCTAAAATCGTACACTAAAAATCGTTTCTTAATTTTAGTTAAAAAACATACTGCACAAACGCGTACTTGTGTAACAAACATAATAAATATTTTTATCAAAAATTGAAAATTTCTTTTAACACCAAATTATTCTGCGAACTATAGTATGAAATAATATAAACTGTTCTTGCATGATAAACATTTAAATATGACTGAATAATAATAAACACGAGGAGGACCTGTAAAATATGTCTTTGTGAAATTAAAGTTGTTAAGGTGGTCGAGTTATTTAGGGTAGCGATTATTCTACACACACTACTATTCTTTCACATTATCTACACAAATATCGTGCTCTCTTTTCCCTATCACACTTTTCTATTCTACTTTCTATTTTCATTTTCCAACAGGTTTTCCCCGAATATAAAAATATTACGACATGTGTTAGAGGAGGCATGTTGCCTTCTTTGCACCGCCAAGCCTGCAAACTTCAAATTGTTGCAATATCTTATTCTACACTAATCTTTGAATTTGTACCTAACGGATGTTACCACCCTACATCTTTTCGAACAAACAATAACACATGACACGAGAAATATTTCCTAAAAAAAGAACATCATGTTCTACACATATACAATAATTTATTATAAATACAACTACATATAATTAGATTAGACTATGGGCATGGCGACTACTAGTATTAAAAACTACGGTTGTTACATGTACTTACATTTCGTTTCTGTGTTGAAAACAAAACACAGTGACAGCAGTATTGCAGATCTGTTCGTATGTCGTATAAAAAATATGATTTTCAACTTCTTTTCATGTTGTCCACAACAAAAAAGTTTTCCTTACTGTACGGTATATAACCTAACAATTTTAACTAGTTTTATCTACAACTTTATCCATACCCTTTTGCTTACAAATGCAGGCCTTGTATTAAACGGTATATCTAGATGAAGACATCTTGATGTATATTAGGTTATATTATTTATAATCTCAACTTTTGTTTAATATTGTCCTTTCATGATTGTCTTGTGTTAAACAAATTATTAATATATCTTTAATTTGAAGAGATTTTATTGTTAAATGACAACATCATGTTAGGTATTAATATTAACATTTCTTAGATATTTTTGTACGTATCAAGTATCCGATTTTGAAATACGGAATGTTTGATATTATTTTATCATGTATAAATGTTGCTGTTGTGCTGCGCGTCAACTTAATGCATACGCATGTTACTTAGGCTGTGGATCAGTGACACGACTCCGACAATATGAATAAACAACTGATTTAAGAGGTATAAGTTGAACTTTATTTTAATAACAAATATTAGATTTTTGATACTTAGAAAAATAACACGACGTAATAACGGACTTTAAGAGTGTTTATTTGTTAAGAACTGACGAGAGAATCTGTCCTGTTTAAAAAGAATATTTTCCACGAAAACTAAAAATGAAGAGTGGGATCGGCATGTATTTGGGGGTAGACAAGCGACTTGTGAAAATTGGCTATCAGATTGGTCGACAAAATATTGAAAGAAGGGGACAAGAACCGCCCTTACAAAATGTTTGAGCTGAGGTCAACTTTGACCTGAAGTGTCGACTAGGCCGTCGCTCGTCACCTAACGGTTTGACAGTAATAAACATAAATTATGCTGGGTCTTAATAAAAATATAAAAATTTCGGAATTATAAATTGCCCGCTGCAAAGGTAACGGTGATTTTCTTAAGAATATTCCAACTAAATAAAAATATGGTTTTAGGATTTTAAGAGTGAGTCCGAATAGCTTTATAAAATTAAAGATTCCGAACCTGGCTTTTAAAAGTATGCTTCCGACTCTTGTATAGATATTTATAAAATCTAGAATTGATGTAACGCGCTTTAAAATGATGCAACAGTATTATTAAAAAATATTTGCCTTTTATTTATATCTGGAAAGGACGTCGATGTTTTGATGTTTACTCTAAATTGTCCAAAATTAGAAATTTTGTAGTTAATTTTCTCTGGATTTTAAAAATATAGTTGATAGTTTATACTGAGATCAATAATTACTTGTTTGTTTCATGACATGAAAATATGTCATAGTGTACTAAATTACTAAAAAGTAGAATAAAATATCATTAAAAATATTTTAACTAATATTGGTTTAAATAATTACAGATTCGAAGTAGCCAAACGTTCCTTATTAGAAAAAGACAAATCACCGACTTTACCTCCGTTGGATTGCTATTTGTTGGTGTTGAATGTCGCGTAAGTCTTACTAAATTACAAACAATATTATTATTCTGTCTTCTTTGAACTTGTCACATTTATAGAAATACTATTAATATAAAACATTAATAAATATTAACTAATTTGCTAAAATCTATTATGATTATTAAATCTATTTTTGCTAACTAAGATGCTATTAAATGCTAGCAGCAGCAGAAGTACTTGCGGATATATACAATGGAGGATAAAAGTATTCGTACACTTGAAATATAGAAATAAAAGGAACAATATTTTCTACATTATTAAGTATATTTAATCATACATAACTGTATATTAAACATTATACTTACAGTAACGAATGACCCAAAATCGAAGGCAGTAACATCATGTAATAACTTGAAATGACTTGAGATTCACAAGACTATAAGAAATCGTCGGTACAAAAGTGTTTGTACACTTAATTATTGCAACAATCATTTTACAAATTAATATTTTGTATGATAATCCTTACGGCAAATCAATTCACGTAATATATTAACACCAAAGGGCATTCTCAACATCAAAGTTTTAACGAAATCCAGTCCTACATTACACCATTCTATGTTTCTTTCTAGTTTCGCCCATACATGTTCGATAGAATTTAAGTCAAGCAATTGTGAAGGAGTTGCTAACCAATGAGGAGTATTAGTCTTAATAACCACTGACATACTATACATATACATGTAGGCTGTATATTTCGCGGCACAGTCTTGCTGAAAATAAAATTCTTCTAATTGATAAATTTAATTCATTCTAATTCATCTGCACTGTTTTGTAAATTTTCTTTTAAAATATTTAAATATAAATGTTTATTCATTATTTTATCTATTATTACTAAATTGTCGCCTCCAGAAGCAGCAATACACTGCTGGCCAAAATTAACGCACCACTTTCTTTAGCCGTTTCTTTCTTTACGTTCTGTTGGAGGTAGTACTTTGAAATTTTGAGGATAGTTGGGCCCATGGGTTATCTCAATGCTCCAGGAGTGCCATTGTTGCCTGCCACCCCCTTGCGGTATCGGCGACCCCTTGAATGCTAGGGGGTCGAAAAACCGAAAAAAAGGCTCTAAATTCGACAGAAAAAAAGAAAAAATCCGAAATTTTTTTACAGAATGAGGTTCTTTAGGTTGCGGCCTTT